ATGGTTAGTAACACATGAACGAGTACCTTTGCGAAGAGTAATAAGTAAAGAGTCTAAATTACCTGATGTAGTAGGATCAGAAGGCGGCAAGGAAGACGGTACGGGCACCTCAGTCGATGGGCGAGAACGGTGAGAGTAGACACAGAGAGGTAAAGTAGATGGTAACACAGTGGACAGCGGAATATCTGAAAATGAGGAAAGAGATGGTGGTACAAGAGATGATTCAAAGTCCAGATCCAAGGGCTGAGACGGTGTTGGAAAGTATAGAACAGATTCTTCAAACGTGACATCGGCACTAGTAAAGTATCAGTGCAGAGAATGACTGTAGCAACGATACCCCTTCTATGTGTGGGAGTAACCAAGAAATATACATTTAGTAGCTCGAGGGTCAAGTTTGTCAAATTCAGGACCCAAATTGTGAACATAACAAACACATCCAAAAACCTTAGGAGTCAGGAAAAATAAGGACTTACTAGGAAAAATGTCAGAATATGGACTTTGTCCATTTAACACAGAGGATGACATACGATTAATAAGATGACAAGCAGCAAGAATAGCATTACTCCATAAATATCGGGAAATATTCATTTGGAATAACAGAGCACGGGTGACTTCCAACAAATAACGGTTCTTGCGTTCAGCAACACCATTTTGTAGAGAGGTGTAAGCACAAGAGGTCTGATGCATAATGCTAGTTTTACTAAGATAAGCTAAAAAAGAATCAGATTCATATTTTCGAACATTATCAAAACATAAAGTACGTATACGACAACCAAACTGAGTTTTTATTTCCTTACGAAAGTCTCAAATATAGAAAATAATTTAGGCCTAGCTTTCATAAAAAACAACCAAATCACACAAGAATAGTCATCCACAGATGTCACAAAAAAAGGATATGTATTAGATGAAATATTATTTATTGAACCTCATACATCAAAATGAACTAATTCAAATGGACTAGACACCTGATTATTGACTCTAGACTGAAATGACACACAGTGATGCTTAATAAGTTGACAAGCTTCACAAGACAAAGACGATACATAACTAAGACTAGGAACTTGGCACTTCAGATTCTGGAGAGAGGGATGTCCAAGACGACAATGTCATTGAAAAGGTGACAACGAGGTCTGTAGAGCCAGGGTAGGTGAATCAAAGTCAAGGTAATATAGGCCACCAACTTCATGCCCCGTACCAATCTTCCTCTTCGTCTTGAGATCCTAAAAAACACAATAAGAGGGATAAAAGGTAATAGAACAATTGAAAGAACGAGTAATCTTGCTAATGGAAAGTAAACTAAAATGAAACTGAGGAACAAATAACACGGAAGATAGGGACATATCAGGACTCAAGTGAGTAGTCCCCGACTTGAAACTTTAGAACAAGTACCATTAGCAAGAGTAACACTACGTGTGAAAGTAGCAGACTGATAAGTAGACAAAACATAAAACGCACCAGTCATGTGGTCAGAGGCGCCCGAGTCTATGATCCAAAGACTGCGAGTGGAGAACAATAAACAAGTGAAAAACAGTACCTGACTGGGCAAAAGTAGCAGTGGAGGGAGATGGAACAGCCTATTGTTGGGAAAGGAACTGAGCATACTCTTCTCGTGTAATAGTAACCAACCCAGGATCTAGTGGAGCTGACCGAGGTATGAAAGCCGCAACAGAGGTGTCATCCTGATAAAAAACCTGATTCGCAGTACCAGAAAGTTTTTCATGTAAATCCCAACAGAAATAAACAATATGCCCTCCATGACCACAGTGAGTACAGGAACATGGTCCACTACGGCCCCCATGACCAATTGTACGATCTCCTCGACCACCACCACCACCTCGATGATCATCACTATAGCTACTAGGAACCACAAGAGTTGAGCGATCAGTGGAAATGCCATGATTGATACCTGAAGTAGACAAAGTAGCACGTTGTATACGAGAAAAAACCTCAAGTAGTGAGGGAAGAATAGAACCACCTAAAATCTGAGAACACGTACCCTCATATTCAGGTTTCAAACCTACCAACAACCTAACAATATTCATGTCCTCATGTTGCTTCTGTCAAACTGTTGTATCAGTAGTAAACGGATGGTAGGTCTTCATCTCTTCACAGACTCCCCGAACGTGAGAGTAATAATCCTCAATACTCAAATTACTCTGTTCCAGTCGGAAATACTCGTTGCACACCTCATAAGCTTGGGTAAAATTGTCCGTACCAAAATACATAGTGGCCAAGTGATCTCATATCTCCTTGGCAGTGTCAAGGTAGAGCAGAGTAGAACTAATACTAGGCTCAATGCTATTCAATAGTAAAGAAATAATTTGAGCATCCTCTTGTTCCCACTGATCATACCCTGGAGTGTCTTCCTTGGGTTTAGGATTCACTAAATATTTCTTAAATCCTTTGCCTAAAAGAAAAATTTGAACAGATCGAGACTATAAAGTGTAATTAGTCCCATTAAGTTTGACAGAGGTTATGGGACCATTAATAAGAGTCGGAGGAGGCAAAGATGGAGTAAGGGACCTGGTATCTAGCTTGGGTTCCATAATAGTGCAGCAAATAGCAAACAAGAAGTGTTGCAATGCTGAACCAGAAGAAAAGGGTTTGTTGGAAGACTGAATCGGACTGGAAAAGGGGGCTGGATCACTGATCCAATCTGAAAAAGGGAGCTGGACCACTAAACCGGTCAAGCTAAGCCCTCTGGAAGACTAAATCGGATTGAAAAAGGGGGTTGGACCACTAAACCAATCAAGCTAAGCCCTCTGGAAAACTGAACCAGGCTAAAAAGGGGTGTTGGACCACTGAATCGGACTAGCTGAGCCCTCTGGAATGCTGAACCGGACCAGTTTTACTTGCTGGATCACAAAATTGGGCCGATTTGACTTCCTGAACCGTTGAACTGGATCAGCTGGACCCTCTAAACCTCTGAACTGGACCGAACTGGTCTAAGCTAGACTGAGTCTCAGGTTGGACCGTAGGTTGGACTGTGGGTTGGACTTAGACTTAAAATAATTTAAGTCAATGGGCTTGACCTGATCTGACCCAACCCATTGGATATCTTCTTCTTTGTTGAGGTTAGGGTTCCTAGAGAACCCTCTAGTCTTCGACGGCGCCACAAACCACGACGAAGACAGCGGCACACCACCACAGTCACACCTTCACCACGAACAACACTACTCAACGATGAACAGGGACCACACCATCACCATGAATGATCACCCAACCACACCAACAATCGACGATGAACAAAGATCGCACCACCTCCACGAGCGATCACACCACCACACCAACAATCAACGATGAACAAGAACCACCACAATAACACAGCCACACACCACTACAATAACACAATCATGCCACCACAACAATGGTAATATATTTAAGATCATAAGAGCTCTGATATCATGTTCAATTGAGATAATTAACATAACACAATATTAGAGAGAAAGAGAGAGGTTAAAAAACTTAACCTAGCTCTCATACATCACTTGTATTTATAGTTAACCTACAATAATAAGAATTACTCATACACCCTCTTACTATTAACAATTTACATATACTACTTTACTATTCTTAACAGAAATATTCAAAAAAAAAAAAGAAGGTATAATTACTTCTCCCCTTGTCCTATTAGACCTTAAGTCAAAGTACTTCTTGTTACCTCCCTTGAGATCAATCAAGTCTTTATAATAGTTTCAATGAGGCCATGGGGAAAAGGTTTAAGCAATGAAGGATATCGACAAAATTCAAACAATTATCACCAGAAAAATAATATTTTTCTCCAACCATATATTATATTTTCATAATTCAACTATCACACCAATACACCACTATGAAGAAACTCATTCATAAACACTTTGCACAATTCTTTTTCTTCATAACTCTTCCTTTTCATTAGAATTTTCTTTTTCAAAATGTTTTTTTTTAGCATAGCAACAATAAGCATGATGAGTTCATCTCTTTCTTTTCTTTCTTTTCCTTCTCATCAAACACCATCATCCCATTTTTAATATTTTTGATACAAATTCTAGGATAATTACGGTACGATAAACAAGCTTTTATTATTGGCTTGGTCAATTTTATGGCTCAAAAAAGAAATTATAAATAAGCTCAATCATAGCTTCTAATGATGATGTAAGGAAAATAAAATGGATTAAGGCTCAAATTAAGCCCAACATTGCCTAAAATCATATATCAAGAAGTAACAATTAGCACATCCTAAATAAATCCATAAGATTCAAGATTAAAATTGTTATGCCCCATCCCTAATGAATATCAAACACAAAATTAATGAGACTATTCAAATACACAAGCTGAAAAGAATGTTATTTGTATTTGTAAATGTAAATCACTCTCCATGAAAGATAGGCTCTAAAACTCACATGGTTTCCACAAAGTCTCCATTAGCACTAGCAAGATTTCAAGAAAAATGCAAGGATATTCAATGTCTTACCACGCAACTGTCGAGCTCATGAAGTAAATAAGCTGAAGTAAACTAAGATGTCTCTAGCACAATTATATAGTAAAATTCAGCTATTTAGCTCACATGCAACAGGCTAAGTTACTATATAAACGTCAATTATCCCAAAATCAACAAATAATGTCCAGACATCCAAAAGTTTAACTAAAAACAAATGATTTTCAGTACAATATAAAATTAATCATTAAACTCACATACTAAAACATCATTGTGAAAAGAAAAGACATAACTAACAAGTATCCCTAACTATGACTAATTCAACAACGACAGCTACTACTCCTAGAGACAACCACTAAAACTTGTGGTAATTTGGATAGAACAATTCACTAAGGTGGATGGGAAGAGGATGTATGAGATTGGTCTTATGGATCCAACTGCTTAAGTATATCATCATGCCCTCTTAACATCTCCATCATTAACACTTGATTATTAAGCAAACTTGCCTGATTATTAAGTAGAGTTGTTTGACCTGATAACAACTTCCCTAATATGTCTTGCTCGGTAGGCACGCCCCCTGAACCTATACTCCAATATCACCTCCTTCATCTTCATCAATCATTATTGTTGCTTGCCTTGTGTTTTTACCAACAGTACTACCCAATATTGCAGATATTGATTCCTTGTATTCAACCACAATAGGAAATTCTACTCCTTTTTTTCTCATACAAAGCAGTAATAATTCCTCCCAAAGGAAGAGAACCATTGAAAACTCATTGTTTGAGGCATCAAATATCTCCTTCACTATCAAATTGGGCAGATCTTTCTGAACCCCATTACCCATAGCATGAAGTAAAACAACTATTTTGGCATTAGCACCTATTTTCTTAACCTGCGGCAAGATGTTAGTGAAAGAAAAGATATTTAACATTATGTACTTCAAATTCATCTCCTTCTGCAATATATTGCTTCTCCCATCAACCCGCTATGCACCCTAGTGAGATTAATTCACCTGCTATTGCATCCAACTTAGGGGTATCCTTAGGAACACAAGGATATCCCGGCTTAGCCACCCTCGGTAATCTAGTAACCTCAACAACATCCGCCAAAGTAACAGTAAAACGTTTCCCTCTCACAAAAGCCTTAAGTCTCATTGTTGTTTCAAAATATCCCTCAATATTACAATAAAATTCACGTACGCAGGGAACAGTTGCTTTCTAGTCTTTCATGGAAAAGTTAGCCCAATTGCGTCTTCTAAACTTAGTTGGGATACCTAGGTGCTCCAAGCTCTTCATGTCTATTGACCTCTCCATGACAAGTGGAAGACCTTTGAAAAATTTATAGTAGCGGTATTTTTTTTTTAAGAGATGGGTATGTGATTGGATCATAATGATGTACGATTATGATATTTGATCCCTCAATTTCAACTCTAGGAGTTGGGTTACTATGACCTTTACCTCTTCTTCTTCCACCTGTGCTCCCCTTTGGTGGCATACACTTAGAAATAAGGAGGTTTAAATGGGTATTGTGTGCGATGATTTTTGCACAATAGATCAGATCTCTCCTTGATGAATTCGAGGTCACCTGGAAAGTCGAAGGTCTCCTAGCAAATGGATCTTGAGAAATGGTATAAGGAGTAGTAATGAATTCCTTTATGGTCCCTCTTCACTTATTGCGATGAGTCTTGTCACTCAAAAAGAAAATGTTAGAAGAGCGCCAGAGTGTTTTTCGACGTAGCCCTTTCGATGTTCAAGTCAATATGTGAGAAAGGGGTGGAAAGCACTATTCTATTACTTGAGTGAGAGTTTGTGTGCATACCTTTGTTTTGGGTTTATGAGAGCTATTTATAACTCCATTGACGGATAGGTGGGTCCCCCAGAAGGAAGACTCCTTATTGGCCCATATGGAAGGCAACCTGTAGCACACAGTCCTTAGGCAAAATGTCTTTCCAGTCATGTGGAAGGAAGTTTTTGCATTTAATGCTCGGATTCCCGAGCATTTAATGCTTGCCTTTAGAGGTTCGCTGAGCAATAAATGTGTCCCATCATTCTAAAAGGTCATTTAATACTTCCTCGTGGCCCCTACGCACGTACAGGAGTGCTTTTGTCTATTGCCTCCCAATTTTGCGCTCTGCACTTCATGTTTTACTGTGATTGGTTACTAACCTGCCCCTTCTTCCATTTTGATTGTCTAGGGAAGCGAAATCAATGAGTAATAGCCAACTCTGCTTCCCAAGTCATGATAACCATTGAAATTGTTGTTCATGCCTCGCCAGCGTAAAGGACTAGGCGCGGAGGTTACGAGTCTGATGGTGGTCCCTCAGGGTGGCATGTACGTTGAGGACACGTGTCAACACAGGGATGCTCTAGGGGGTTACTAACACCAAGGACACGCGTCAGACGCAAAGATCTCTGAGGTAGACACATGCTGAGGACACATGTCAATGCATGGGACGTCTGGGTGCAATAGGGTCAAGGACATATGTCGCTCATAGGGAGATCTAAGGGGATTCACATAGATGACACATGTCAATCCATGGTGCGCCCACATTATCAGGTTAAGGATACTTGTCGACTCCCTATTAATTCTCAAAAATGTCTCATCAATTGCCCTCAGCCCTTGATCTTCGTACGATAAGGGTGAGGTGGTGTAGGAAGATGAAAAGGTTTGGCCCTTACTTCTATATACAGTCGCTTTCCTTTCCTTGGGGTACGCACTTCATTTAATATGCCCCTCCTTGTTTATCGTGTGCAATCATGGCCTTTGGCATTATTTAAATAGAGTCTCTACCCCTCTCTTCTACTTTTGCAAACTTCGTTAAACTATAGATCTTTGCTGGAGACCAATCAGAGAGTCCATAGTTCATCTAAAAGCCATCGATTCCTCAAAATCCATCGGAGAAATAAGCCCCCAACCCCTCCTTTGTACCAGAATCGTGCCCATTGGTGAGTAACTATTCTATTTATTTTCTTTCACTATGACCATTTTCCCTCTGTTCCTTCTCCTTTTTGTCATGGCAGTGCTATTTCTATATCTCTAGCCTTATTCTTCTTCTTTTCTTCTCTTTTTTCTTTTTCCTTTAATAGTGACCTTTAGGCCCCTCATTTTTAGGAATCCCTCCTTTTCGAGTCCCTTCCTTGATTACATCATGCCGAGACGCTGTCAGAGCACGAATGTCAGGGCCTCGAGTCTGAGGAAATATACGTTTAAGGGTTGTTAACAAATAACCAACTTTAAGACTCACTATTCCCTCCCCCCCCCCCCCCATTAGAGTCATTGTTAATGAGTTCATTTCTGGACTCCACAGCACCGATGATGGCACCAAGGTAGCCATGCCTTTTTATATTGAGGCCATTATGGAGGGTGGTATCAGATTTCCCCTCTATCCTATCCTTCTTCGCTTCTTGTCCCCGTTCCATCTGTTTCCAGGGCAGTGTTGCCTAAATACCTTTAGGATCATCTGTAACGCCCCTAAAACCAGGGATCCTTTGTCAATCCGTTGATCATCCATCAACCCGCAAAAATATCCGTGAATGCCGCATAACCCGAAACCACGTCACGACATTCCCTTTATCAGGATCACGACTACTCAAAGTTTGGGCAGAGTCTCCCTTGTACCGAGCACTCCCAAACGCATAACATGTATACCATTCAACCATATAACCCATCCAAGGTCCAATATACAATAATTTATCCTCATTTAATGTCCATTTATATCATTTGAACCAAAGAGCCCAAGACCCAAGGGCCTAGCAAAATATTTCAAAAAGATTGAGATTTTAACAAAACCTACCTGTTCGAATGTAGTTTGGCGTTCGAATGATGGTTGCTCCCAGTATTTTGGTTCTCTGCAGGGATGCAAAAGTACTGTAAGCTCTTTACATTCGCACATGGAATGACGTTCGAACGTGAAAGTGGCATTCGAACGTGGAATAGTGTTCGAACTAAGGTTATTCCTAGTACTTTGGTTCTCTGCAGAGCCTTAAGTACTGTAAGCTTCCTACGTTTGAACATAGAATGACGTTCAAACGCCAACAACAAATATTTGTGTAGTTTTTGCTTGAAAACCTACGATTCCTTTCTTTTTTTCAATTCAATCCATTCCAAACTTACACAACATCATACCAAACTCACATAACATGTAATTTTGCATTAAACATATTAATACAAGTTCAATTACAATCCATTTCATACATTTACTTGTTCAAAACAAATTTACATGAAGTTTTATAAAAGTCATAATTTAAAAGCCACATGTCGGCTTTTCTTCAACGTTGAGGGCCCAAATGAGAGCCTTCGACCGATTTGAACCCCACACTTGAAATGTTTTTTCAAAAAGGGTGAGTCATGCTCGATAGGGTATCTCCTAAAGAGGCTACTCTCCAACCTAGATGCATATGAAATGTTTACAGACATCATTCAACAAGCAATAATCATTCCAATCAAGAATATGCAATTCAATGCTAGAAACCACCATGCTATGCCATGAAATGAGATGGGACTCACTAATGCCCTTCAACCTGAGCCTTCACCAACTCCCATCACCCATGCAATGCATGAGTATAAAACCAGGCATTCCAATCCTCCCCCATTGATGTTACAAATCCAATAACTATTTTATAAAACAAAATCATTGTGTCTTTGTTGGGTTGCGGAGTTTTGGTGTCTCATTGCCGGTTCCGCACACTGATACACTTTTTTGAACTTGAACCGACAAAAGTGTATAAACCAGTAATCGGATCTTGCACCCGAGGGAGTGTCTAGCCCTTCTTGCTATACCCGGCACAAGTTTTTCTTTTTCATGCAACCGTGCGACTCTGTTGAACCTTGGTCCAACTATACCAAGCCCACTTATCAACCACCAAGAGTGATGTTTGATTCAACAACATGCACACACACCCCTACTCATGTCAATGCCCACCAATGCGATGTTTCCGTGCAATATGCAAATGTAATGAACCATTGCATTTCATATACTTATGCAACTAAATATCAATTGCAATTTCTCAACTATGTTCAATATGCTATGAGTGTCATATGAACCATTCCAACATATTTCATGGTCAATTATATCACAAGCATATAATCACCATAATTCATCACAATGTCAATATATCATAAGTCTATATCAACATTTACATTCAACAAATATTTTCTCAAGCATATTATAAATAATCTATGCAATAACACACTTAATTCCACATAGGCATGATATAAATATAGAGCATACCCACATAACATCATTTTCCAAGAAACTACAAGCTAGCAATTTCTATACACCAATTCCAACTAGAATTGATTTCTACCCATTTTCAATACCCATTTCATCAAATTAACCATAATAGGCTAGTGTTATACATCTCTAACAACCTACCAATTTCATATCACAGCCCTAAGTTGAAAATAAACCTAATTAGGGAGAAAATCCTATCTCTTGAAGCGTAAAATAAACTTAGAAAGCCTTCAAGAACACCACCCAAATTCAAACCATGATTTTTCCAAAATTTCATTTTTGAATCTTCGGTGAAATCCATCCTTTTTTTATACGTAGGCGTAGCCCTTGTCGAGTAGAACAACTTTGATACTTGGTCCGAAGGATTCCAGCCAAAGGAACTCTGTAGATCGTAGAGAGAAGTTAAAGTTCTCTCTTTTTCCCACTCTTCCCTCTAAATCTGAAAATCTGGTGGGTATAGGGAGAAAATATGATTTTCTCCCCTATTTATACCCTTTAGATGCTTGGTCTACATCGTGCCACATGTTCCTCATTCCCGGGTCTAATTTTGTCCCAAAATGATTAAATTTTGCTCCGATTCAAGTTCAAAATATTTTTATATGAACTTTTTTAAAATTATTTTTTAACTTTTAAAATTTTATTTCATATCTCGTTTTTGGGTCACACGAGACCCGATCGCCTCGTATAACATAAAAAATCCGATTGTCTCAGAATTCGACGAAATTTGTCTAAGTAACTAGATTTTGCGAGATAAATCCAACGGTGAGGTCCGTTTTGTCAATTCGAGCTCTAGAAAAAATTTGAATTTTCAACCCGTATTATAGTGACAAATTATCATTTTGTCCTTTTCATAAAAGTTTAAATTTACCCGAATTTTATGTTCTTTCCACCTTAAAAGAATTTCATCCCCAAAATTTACAG